GAAAAGGAGTAACACTACGATTAAGCAATAACATTTTAAGAATTTTTACTATTAAAAGTTTTTTCGAATTTATTTAATGAAAAAATTGATGAATGTAATTTGTAAAAGTAGATTTGATTTAGGTGGCAGCCAATATTGACTTTTGAAATTGTTAGATGGTGGACTATCATTGTCTGAGTTCAAGTTTGGTCATCTCATCTTCTATCTTTGTTCCCCAAACTCAGTAGCAGCTGCAGCTTTTGGCCATCACACTACTACTCTACTCTACTCTTCGATCACTCTAATATAGTCTTTGAAAACTTGTTAAAAGTGAACAATCACGTTTCAAATTTCAATACGTGGAAAGAAATTCGTGTTTAGAATCTAAACAATAATAGTTTCAAAAGAAAATTAGAAAATTATAAACACTTTAAAATGAGACAAAAACATAAATTAAAAGTTAATCGACCGCGGACCAACAATTAGTCCATCAAAACACATCTAACTCTCTCATTAAATTGTTTTAAGGATATAATTACTTAACAAACTTTTACACACATTTTATATTTATTATTTTACCTTTTAATTTCTTCCTTTTTTTTATAAACTAAAATTAATCTTTTTTAAACTTTTTGTTAAATTGTTACCGATGCAAGTGGTGTAAGAAAATATTTTCATCGTTGTAATGACGTTCGCATGCTCTATGAACCCTCTGCTCATAAAGCTTGCTCTCCTTTCCGTCATTGTTTGGAAAGGGTTGAAGTATACCAACAAAAGGATGATAAATAAAATTATAGGGTTAATCAGTTTATCATAAATTTATATATTTTTAATTGAATTTTTTTATTATTTTTTACATTTTGGATATTTAAATTTTTAATCATTTGGCATAGTTATTATTTTGTACTATAGTATCTTACTTTCTTATATTCACGTGTTAAGAAATCCGAGATTAATGGAAATTAATATAAAACAGTGTTATTATTAATATGAAATAACAAATGGGTGGTGTATGTTTTATGGATGAAAAAAACTCAAAGTTTTAACAAATAAAGAAAATAAATAACAGTACGTACCTAATTGAAAAAGGTCAAATAAATTCAATTAAAAAAAAGGTTAAAAATTTTAAAATTTTCAAAAACAGTAAAAAAATTATCAAAGAATTATTAAAAAATACAAAATTTTAAAATGGAGCACTTAATTAAACCTAAAATTAGTAAGCTCGTACGTAATTATTTTATATTTTCTTAAATAATTTTCACATATTCTTTTTTTTGTGTAAAATAAACTGTCATTTCCGTTATTCTATTAATAAAACAAGATTGAAATCCCTTGTATATTTATATATTTATATTTATTAAAAAGAGTTATGTATATAAATAGGATAATGTAATACGAAATTTAACACTAAGTTTTTTATAAGATACCCATTGTGTTTCGTTATTCAAACAGCATTTTAAAAAAAATGTAATAATTAAATCGTTTACTATTGTCTCAGGAAAAAAAATCTTCAATTTTTATATTTAAAACTTTAAATTTTAGTTTTTATACTTTATTATACTTAAGTTTTATTAACATAGTATTTTGAAATTAAATAAGGAAAACGAATATCTATTTTAAAATTAAAAGATATTTGAATGTCCTAGAAACAAACGCACACTTACAGTTTTTCTATTTTTTATTATTTAATAAAAAGTTAAAGTAAATTACAATGCAATTTTTTTTTTGAATTAAACATAACAGTTCTAACTTATATAAAGTGACAAAGTGACTAACCAAAGTTCAAAATTTCATTAAAGTATAATGCTTACCCTTTAACATCATAGACTTCTCGAACAATACATGGATTGGAAGATAACTATAATTAGGGTAGAGCGATACTCTTTACATATCTACTTTTTTTCTAATTAAATATAGAAACATGAATTGGAACGTATGATCATCAATGATGATTATTTAATACAAGAATGATTAGTTTTAATTAGAACTGATACTGATATTAATAACATGAGTCTTTTTTTTACTGTCTCTTTATGACTAAGAGGGGTGACACTTTAAACTCTTTTTTGGTGGAAAGATGATAAAAGAAAATGGTACATTGTAATCATAGGTACTTATAAAAGAGTTCTGTCATTTCATGTCTATATGAAAGGGTATTGTGTCTTTCACTTGTTCTTTCATGTTTGGTCTCATACGCAGACAAATTACAGCACAAGTTAAAATTTATTTCACCAAATCAACCACTAACTTAATTAATGGAATTCTTCTTAAACCAAATTTATTATCTTTATTTCATTGAATACACCATATCAATTGATACCCTTTATGTTATTATTTATTTATTTAATATTTTCTAATCTTATATGAACATCACTTAAAATTCATGGTGAAATAAAAAGGAAATTATCTTCCATCCAAGTCCCAAAGGGTTCAATATAAATAGTCAAATAAACAAAAAAAAATAATTCTTTTATGTGTAGTCTTTAATTTTATTTTTCATTTAATACAATACATAAGAAAGTAAATCATTTATAATTAAAAAAATGATAAATTAATAATTAATGTGACAAATAATAAATAAATAAATATTTTTGTAAAAGAAATAGACCAGTTAAAAGGAGAGGAGTATGTACAACTCCTTATTTTGGAACATTTTGGTTTGACTGATGAAACTAGGTAGATTAGCTAAATGGTCAAACTGGGAGTATTGTCACTTTCAATGTTCCCCGTTTGATTAACATTCTTATGAGTTTTCTCTGACTAGTGTTCTTAGCCACTGTTTAAAAAAAAATTCAAACAATTTCATGAATACTGTTATTACAATGAAAAAGAATCTTTTAATTCTTCTCAGTTTAATGACTTAAACTTAGCATATGCTATATTTTAAATATTTTTTTTTTGTTTTTTCAATAGAAAAGTTGTAAAATTAAAAGTTCTTTAAGACATATGATACTTTAGTACATTTGTGATATATTGTCTCTACTATAATCAATAAAAAATTAACCGCAATTTCCAAAATATTTAATTATAAAATTAACGAAAACTTATTACATTACAATTCATGGTATTAAACGAGATTAAAAAATAAGTATACAAATGACAACCAAAACTATAATTAATAAATGAATGAGATGTTTGGTGGTAGGGGTGCAAAAAAGTTTAATGAATTTGGGAAATGGTAGATACAGAGATTCATATACGGGTTATAAAAGGTAGGCAAAGAGATTAATATATATAATGAATGTGGTGAAGAGTTCTAAAAGGTTAATCATACACACAATGTGCAAAGTTGATGAATCATGTTGTTCTGGCGTGCATGGAGAAACATAACAGGGTGGGGGCGACAAAGATATGTAGTTATATTCTGCCACAAAGGGATAACATCATTTAGTTACAACATTCGGATATGTCTACCGAATAATCAAAAAAAGTTCGACCAGTACACATAACTTGTAAACTCTTTTATCTGTTTGATGTAAGAAATTAAAATATAAGTATGTTTTTTTTTATATAAATAAAAATGAACTTAACTTAATTTACTTTAGGGTTTTTGTGAAATTTAAATACATTCATTTTTTATTTTTTATTTTAATTTCAAGGCAGACTCTGATAGATATGGAAAAGTTAGATGTTTCGGACGTGATTTTAATTATCTTTGATTAGTAGTGATTTGACATTGATAATGAATGTTTTTTTATTATAAATAATAATGATAATAATTTAATTATCCTTATAGTTAGTTAAATATACATTATCTTCTAGTCTTTTAATTATAAATATATAAAGATCATAAAGAAATGGAGTATTAAATTTTCCAATAAAAAGAGAAATGTCTTAGCTAACATTTTCCTAATCTTATTGTACAGAGAAAAAAATTATAAACTAAATGCTGAACGAAAACTGTAAGATCTTACATTATGATAAGCTCAACTACAATTAACTCTATTAGGTAGTAACTACTTACAGAAAAAGACCAACAATATGTGTACCCAAGTGATGTAAGCTTATTTTTTCTTTTTTTCTTTTCACTTTTTCACTTTATCCATTTTCAGAGATAAAATCGTATGTGAGACAAATGAATATAAGCTTTTTCGGTTGAAGTTTAAATCTCGATTCAACATCTTATGCAAACCTAACTCTTTTTATGTGGACTCAGCTCCCATTTCCTCTAGAGTCATACAATTAATTAACACGATTTGCAGTGAAAACATACTTCAATATAAATATAATAACTCAAATTAACTTAAACACGCATCTCAATCATATTAAATAATATAAAATCAATTTCTCTAAAAATAGTTTCACAAAAACTCTAACGATATTGTTTGGAAACAGAAAAGACAAAAATTAGTAAAAACAACAATGTATAAGTTTACTTTCTCTAATTGAAGATAAAATGGAAGAAACAAAAGTTGACTTTAAACAATAAGTAAAAAAAATAATTATACAGTGTGCATTTGTTTTATTTCCATATTAAATGCAAGAGCATAAAAATCAAACGCTATCTCTCTTGAGAAAATATCCTTTCCATTTTTTTCTACCCATTTCATTCATTAAGAAGGTTCTGTGAAAAATAAATGCTACTCCTCCGAAAAGCTCATAATATAAGTAAATAGAGAGAAAAGAAAATTTCCGCCGCAATTTCTGTATATCCAGACGTTATTTACCGCTACTAATAAAAATATATAATGCTTTCTATAATTTAGAAATTAACATCTCCCTCAAAATAACTGATACCAAGATTATTATATTCAGACAGTCATGAAAAGCCACAATAAAATATACAACTGATGTACAAGTTAGAAACAACATATTTTGTTGTCCAACATACTAATTATATTTTGTACGCTACATCACAAATAATGATGCGCCGGCATCCCTTTTAGTGCGAGTATAGAGTACTAAACTTAGTGAAAACTCATAAAGGCGTAACCAAGTGGAATACGACATTTGCAAAGGATCTATGCAAGATATGGCCATTGAAAGCATTATCCACAATTCCCAAAAATAAACGAGTACTTGACCACAACAAAATTATAAATTTACAACTTCAAGTTACAAATTTACAACAATATCCTAAACAAAATCGTGATACGCATCATTTACATCGATAACAAATATTGTATGATTGAAATTGCAATCATATACATCTCTCCAATCATAGTTAAGAACTAACAACGAATGAAGCTCATCGAATCAATATTTGGAAATACCTAATTCGTGTACGCCGGGTAAGGAAAAGAAAAATACAACCCAGAAAATATGAAGGCGTTGTAATTTTCATTCTAGCATCTACAAAATAATGGACATCTTATTCTCTATGACTTGTTGAGCATTCGGTTTTTAATTTTAATTCGAATTTTTGGTGCACCGGATGTGCCTTCAGATGGATCCGGTTTGCTATCAATCTTTTTGGTTTCTAATTTAGAATTATGTCCGTCGCTGGGCTCAACAGATTTAATCTGTCTGGTAACGTCCACTACAGGTTCCTCTTTCTTACTTGACAAGTCTACAGAGGATCTCTTCGCTTCATCACTCTGAAGTTTTGCCATTTCTTTTTCCCGTCGTTTTTTCTCCTTCTTTAGTCGTTTTCGCTCCAAATATTCTGGATCATCATGATGTCCTTTATTACTTTCCCGTTTTCGTTTCTTTTCCTTGCTTTTGTGTTTTTCCTTGCCACGAGCAGAAATTTCTTTACCTAATGATTCTCCGTCAGGATCAAATCTTGCAACTGAAAGAGTTTGAAGGCTGGCATATCGTCGTGCATCAGCATCTACATTGTTATCCTGTATAATACTGGATGATGACGGATCTTCTGGCTGAGGTTGTGAATAAACTATACTTGAATCAGCAGTGCACTGAAGTTCTTTGACCAATTCATCACCGTCACTCAAAAATTTAGCACTACCAATGCTAGCAGTCATGCGCGAACCACGATCATGCCAAGAATTAACTTCGTCTATATTTTGATTACTCATGCTAAGAGTCTCGGGAAAATTCCTCTGGGGTGCATCTACAGAAACTGAACTGCTAGCTCCATGGTCCATTTCGTTACGACCACCTAAAGAACGTTCAACCACTTGATTATCAGTATCAGCCCTACTGGTGGCAGAAGATTGTTTGACCTTGATTTTAATGAGCCTCTTTCTTTCATGGCTATTCGATACAGTATCAGCTTCCTTGGAAACTTCATTTGGAGCTTCCATTGGTGCTTCTTGTGGAAATTCAGTATATACTTCTTCGGCTTTCTCTATGGGTGCTTCATTCAGAGCTTCAATGTGCACCTGTGTCGGAGGCACCTGTGTCGGAGCTTCATCAGGTGGGTCCTTAGAAGCTTCGTTAAGTGCATCCCTCAAACCATCCAGGCCAAGATTTGGTGTAGGGTTTTGAGTAGAGCTTGGCAGATCCAAAGGTTTGCTATCCGAATCAAGAACAAACATGTTCTTCTGATAGTTACAAGCTTCTGTAAGACTTATATGCAACGTTCTATTTTCCCTGGGAACCCCATGAAGAGTTGGTGGTCTGCAGACAAAAGCACGGAATAAAGTCTGAATTTTTCGTTTTTCAAATACAGATAAAACTGCAGTGTAAATATAATCACGCCCAGAATAAATTGTCATTGTTTGGCATCAGCTAAACCTATTAAGAGAGGATCTTAAATTTTTGCAGAAGTAGCAGCAAAGTGAAAATGGTTACAGACTATAAAACATTAGGACTTTATTAAATAGAGAAAATGTTTTGTTCCCATCAATAATTACAAAAATTTCATATTTTTTTCATTTTACTTCATGTTTCCAAAGACGTGAATATCAAATGAAAGAGAGATAAAACCAACCGTTTCACCTTCTTTTGTATAGAAAACAGAATAAGGAAATAAAGGAAACACAGGAAGTAATATTTCTGTAAATATTTGGTAACATCTGAAAAAACATTTTGTCAAATAAAACAGGTCATTATATTCTACATTAGATTCATTTCTTGGGGAATATTATCAAGCAAAATCAGAAATCGTAAACAGCTTCCCTAAGTACCTCTCCAATTGAAATAAAGTTTAAATCCTAAAGAATCACAGTTACTACTCAGTGTAGTTAGAATAGTAAGAATTGTACGATTCGAATCGTGATTCGTTACAAAATTCTCCCCAGCTATTAGCGATTCGGTTTTCGTCACATACTATTCGTGAAGAAACAAAAACTGAAAAAATAAGAAAGAAACACATAGGAAAAGAAACTCAACAAAGATGAAAGTTCAGTGGAAAAGATAAACAGTGAGAAAATAAACAGTGTATAAGTTGAACATCAAATAATAGAACCGCGAAGACACAGTAAAAATAAATTGGGAGAAGATGAAATCATCAGAAGATGGGAACGAAGAGGGAGAGGAAATCAATCTGGGAAAAGATTAATCCATGAACAGTGAGAAGATGAACATGGAAGGAAGATCTGAGAGTTCTAAATAGGTTTCTAAATAGAGTTATATTTTAAAATATAAAATGCTTTTCATATTTTTTTATCTCATACTAACATACTTTTACATTTTACAGTGACAGTAATAATTTATATATTATTTTTTATTCTGACTTTCGTAAAAAAATAATATTATCTCTTTGAAAAAATCAGTTATTGTTTAAATTAATATATAAGTGTTCTTATATAATTTAGTTATTGTTTACTATTTTTTTTAAATTTTTTTTCTTTTATAAAAAAATTTAAATTAGCATATATTTATTCTTATATTTTTTTTATATTAAATTAGTCAATATTTAAGAATTTTTTTATTTAATATTTTTGAAAAGAAATAAATTTGAATTAATATACAATTTTTGTTATATTCTTTATTTTTCTATAAAAAAAATAGTTATTGTTTATTTTATCTTTTAAACTATACAAATTATGTATCTTAAGATTCAAAATAAGATTCGATGGGATTCAAAATTTATGAAATTTCGAATCTCGATTCAATAACCATGGTTACTACTATGTTCAAATTTCATTGAGTTCAACAAACAACAAAATTGGACAAAATATAGGTAAAAAAGGTGAATAGAGAGCGACTACGACCAATAAAAGAAGTTCAGTGAATAAATTATTTTCAAAAGCTAAATGAAAAATTGGAGAGTTAAAAATCATCTTTTGCTTTATCACGTACATGCAATATTCACACAATACATTAGCTAACAAATAAGCAAGCTTGCATTTCATTTCAATAAGAAACATACCTTCTTGCAAGTATTTGTAGTATGCAGAACAAATAATGCCGGAGAAAGACATTATTAAAAGCAGTACGCCCTTCCAGTAAATTAAGCATAGAGACAAGAGTTTGACTAGTAATTTCCTCTTCTGAATTCAATCCATCCCTCATCTGACATAGCCTCATAACATGGGTGGCTAGTTTTAACTGTCCTGCAATCAAGAAATGAAATTTTATTGTAAAAAAGTAAGATGGAAGAAAGGGGAAAGTAAATATGAAAATGAAAGGAAAAAATAGATACAGATCTGATTGTTTCAGAAGGTTGTCAATATTTGAAAAAAAAGATAATCATGTGCCACAAGATGACTTAAAATATATAAAGTTGTATATTAAAACTTGTTTTGGGATTGGAGGATCAAAACTAGTTTGGACGAATTTCTCAATAAACCTATCTAAGAACAAAAAATGAATTTGAACTTCTTTGAAAGCTAAAATTAGTTTAAGCATAAGTTAAATTAAAAAATTGGAGAAATTATAGTGTTTCTGCAAATTAGTTCATGCATCAACTAATTTTAACTTTAGTTAATGGAGAAACTAATTTCCAATTTTTTTCTTCCTAAAACTAATTTAAGGAGAAACTCATCCAACCATGTATGTTATGAAATTTGTCCCACTTAATAAACATTTCTATAAATACTTTACTTTTAGCATTCTGAACCAATTTCTTAGTTTGACATACATCTATAGATCCTCCGCTAGGGAAAAGATGAACAACCTCTTAAGGAATGCTCCTCCTCTAAGTACTTGATAAATAAAAGCAATGCTGAATCAATGCCCTTGCAGTGGAATTCAAGGTCAAGGAGTGCTCTGCTTGCTTCAATTCGAACTTGCCAGAGTGTCTTCAAGTCACGAAAAGGCTTTACAAGTTCATAAACTCGATCCTGTAGTGAAGATGAAGCTTTTAGAATATTTGTACCAAACATTGAAAAGAAGTTTGATGCTCAATAACAAGGTACTTACAAGAGGAATGAACCCCGAAAGCTTTAAAGCAATCTGGGTCAATGTTCGGATACAACTGATAGTCAAGATTCCATTATATCTTGGCATGAGACTAGCAGAAGACATTTCAAAAATGTAAATTATAGTTGTAAGTAAAATTGATAAATCCACCACAGTAATCAATGCATCATTTCACCTATCAAATTGTAGAAGCCGGTCAATGCGTTTGAGAAGTGATGACAACAATAGAATACTCTGTCAAAATTTTGAGTCAGAAAGAAGCCTAATACTCAAATCAGGCTGCTGATTTTTTATTTTTTTTTTTATATTTTTATTTTTATTTTTTTTATATATTTTTTTTTATTTTTTTTATATACACACATATACACACAAACAATTTTCATAACAAGCAACATTTGCATAGTTGTAATAGAAATGGAAATTGGAAAAGCTCAAAATCACACTTTCCACCAACAAACTATTAACTATCAGTACTTCCTATTCAACAGCTCAAATTTTAATTAATAGAAAGGTACTTAAGGAGCTTTGGTAAATATAAAATAAAACAAGCTCAGGAAGCTCATATCAGTATACTAAATTATTAATTTGTAAAGGTAATAAAGATAATCAGCAAGAGAAAAATAGTTTTTAAACCTGTTGCCCAAACTCAAGCTCACCAACCGATTGGACTAATGCAGAAAGCCAAAAGACATCTGAGTAAGGATTCCCATTGTTGTCATTGTACTGGAAAAATAAGAGGATAAACATGAGCCCTGAAGCTGAAACTTCTATATTACTAGAAGCAAGAAAACTTCACAATAAAAGTAATCACACTGCCCTAACAACATAACTTGAATTAATTTAATGTGATTGTTTGCTGTTTTGCAACTGTTGAACGTTTCGTTTAGTTGAATGAATGATTTTGATGCATGATGGTGATTATGATTGTATGGAGATGAACGTTCGTCTTATGGATAAGATGCAATGAAATATGAATGAATTAGGTTTATAATGTATGAAATCTGTTAAACTAGATGATATGTGCTGTTGGAAGATATGAAATTGATTATGATAGAAATTTTATAAAGTTATGAAGTTATGAAGTTATAAGTTAAGAAAAATGAGTTGGAATGTAAAAGATTCTGTATATGAGATTTCACTATGAAAAAATACGTTCGTTACTGAACGGTCATTGACCGTTCGGTTTTCCTGGTAAACATAGTAAAAATGAGATTCTTTCATTTGGAGAGAACCCTAGTTGAGAACGAGCGTCCTCGTGTGGTAATACTATGTTTGAGCGTTCGGCCAAGCATAGTTGTATCCGTATAGCCCTTGATAAAGTAATATATAAAATCTTGTACTTTAAGATTAGTAGTGCTCGGTCTTATACCAAGCGCTCGTACTAAGTAGTGCTCGGTCTTATACCAAGGGCTCGTACTGAGTAGTGCTCGGTCTTATATCAAGCGCTCGTACTGAGTAGTGCTCGGTCTTACACCAAGTGCTCGTATTCGATTCTTATATAATCAATCTTGGTAAAATAGCGCTCGTCCAACTTCAGTAATATTTTTCCTTTACCATGTTCGGTCATTTACTGGCATTGGATTTCTGTATGTGAACTATTCTAAATATAGTTCCTTAACATCTTGACTAGTCTTCTTCATTGGATCCGGCCTAGGGCCTCCATACTGGATTTATTCCTTGAGTATTGGTTTAAACTCAAGAGAGTCGGTTCATTCAACTGACTCACGTGGTAAATAACGTTCGTCACATATGGTATTATTGTACTCGGTTCATTTCTTAAATCTAAAAGTAACTCTCTTGGTCTTATTCTGTTCTGGAACGGAGATTTTACGGGGTTGTCGTTCTTACTTAGCGTTCTCCCGTTCTAAGAGGTCTGAAACGTTCAGTATTTATGTTCTTAGAAACTGATGATAAAATTAACTTAGTGGTTAATGAAAGATGAATTTGAGAGAAGAAATGATTAATATGAAAGATGAACTGAGAATTGATTACGAATGAAATGGGAAGGAATGTGATATAACGAAATGATGTGGATTAAAGAGCGTTTCCAGGGAGGAACGACTCATGGATGAATATATGAAAATTCAATGAGAAGAGTGTGCAAATAATTTCAATTTCTATGTTACAATGCACTGAAGCTGCTTGTGTGAGTGGGATAAATTTAAATCAGTAATTATCACAGTTATTTGTTAGATGGATAATGTAATTGAATTGAAAATGAATATTATGAACATGACCTGTGGCCAGAGATCTCACATCCAAATGAATAGATGACTAAACTATATGTTCCAAGTGGGTGAAAAACCACTTTAACTTATTTGTCAAGTCGGTTTTGTAAGATTGAGGTAGGTATAAATTCCACTTTCTTAAGATGATAGTTGTCCAACCAAGGAGTTGGAGACTTCGTTACCCTTGGTTTGTGAAGTTTGAGCTTTATAATTCCTGAAGTTCTTGTTACTCTTATACCTGTTTCAGGTGTTAGAGGACTTGTCTTGGAATATGCTTGATTGGATTCCATCCTCAATTCTCTACCCGATCTCTCCTTGTCCCAAATATGGGTAATATGTTCTAAAAAATTCTTGCTCCACCATCTGACCTACCTGGCAAGTGATGCCCAGTTCTCGACAGAGAACAAGACAGCAAGCGAGAGTTATTGAATATCTATTGTAGTCAAGATTGTTTGGACTTATTGTGTCACTACTATCAAGTCATTTCCAGTTTTACACTTTCAAGTCTAGTCATCGATGGAAGCAGTGTATTAGGGTATGATCAATTATAATATATATAAGGGGTGTAAATCTTACCTTACCAAGATGACTTTGTTGGGTTGCATAGGTATAAATTCTACTTTCTTAGGAACCATACTTGAATTAGTTAGAGGACATTGTAGTTTTTGGAGACAATAGATGGATGAATGACAGCTAGTTTTTTGTGATTCTAAAAAAATCGGGGTTTAGAACTATGACCTTTGAATGAAAAATCACTATTAAATATAAAATTTTTTCAAGTGTCTACATCTACTCCGACCCAACCTCATATTTTACTTCTGTGAACCTTACTCAGCTGCCTGAAATAGAGGTTTCTCCTTCAGTGATCATCACTGCCTTCCTTTCTGATTCTTTCTTAACTAGTTTTCCACATTATGTTTTTGCTTTCATTTTTTGTTTCGTACTGTCTTTTAAATCCATTTATTTATAAATGCTTTTCAACATGGTTGTCACGCTTTCACCATTTTCTGCAATGCCATCCTCTATAATTCTAAGGATATTTTTTCTGGCCAGTTTTATCCTTATTTAGTATTTAGGATTCAGCTACCCAAATCAAGGGTAATGAACTGATTATATCTGTTTTTTGCTTCTTTGGGCTCTTGCAATATTGTAATATTTTTATTACTCATTGATTACACCACCACTCTATGAATCA